AAGATCATGGGTATCCGGCATCGAACGACCGCTCTTTATCATCCTCAATCAAATTTATCTGAGCGTGTCAATCGGACATTAAAGCCTATGTTGGCTATTTTTGCCGAACATGATAAAGAATCTTGGGATATACGGTTGCCGCAACTAGCACTGGCCATCAGAGCGGCCATAAATGAATCCACTGGCCACAGTCCAGCATTTTTAATGTATGGTCAAGAACTGAAACTACCACTCGATCGCATATACGGTCCCGAAGCGGATGTTCTTGATGAGTTGAAATCTGAGGAAGTTCGATCCTACACTGAACGACTTAAAGCCATTCTTGTGTCTGCACATCAATCGATCAGAGAAAATTTGGAAATTGCCCAGCAAGAACAAAAGCTTCTTTATGATCGACGTCGTAAAGATGCCCAGTTTAAAGAAGGTGACCTTGTTTTGGTGGCTAACGCCTCAGGATCAGCTTTAGGGAAATGGGCCCTTCCTAAATTGGCTCCTAAATGGTTCGGTCCTTTTCGAATTTCACGCAAGGTTGCAATCTTGCATCAAAAAAAGCGTTCTCGTATTTCACCAAAGCATGTGTATTATGCTTATCGCTGGTTCTTTAGGAATCTGCCTATATAACAATAATATGATAATTGAAAATGAAATATTACAAATATGGTATTTAAGATCAGAAATATTGTTTCCAAATATAAAAAAATTATGTTTAATTAACATCGACTAGATCCAATGTGTTTTTGTTAATTATTAAAAAAATTGGATAAAAGTATTCAGCTTTTAGAATTATCTATAAAATTTTATTATTTCGTTCAGTGTTATCACGAAACATTCAGACATATTATACAAATGCAAATTTCATTTAGAAAAATGATATTTTCAGTTGATTTAGATGAATTAAAAAGTATATTTAAGACCTGATTGAGGAGATGTACATTGTCCTCCTTCACAACCCAATTCTTACTCGTTTTGTTTTAAAAGGACGTGGAACTCGAGAACTAAGTGGCCCGAAGTTCCCTACAAAGTTTCTAGAAAGCGTTTTATTTTGTTTCTGTTCGAAGCCATCTAGTCACACAGAGTCGACTATGCTGATCACGAATATCACTTTTAAACTTTCCCTAAGTGTTCTGAGAGATAAAAATAACCTCATATAAGCCGATACCGGTGCGAAGTTTGTCCACCGGTATCGCATTTCTGATATCGGTTACAACCCTGCTTCGCACAACATCTCTACGGGACAATACCAGTCTAGAATTTTTCTATCATCAACTAATCTCTAGATCAGCTATGCATGGTAGAAATTCTAGCTCGATCCACCTTGTACACTGGCATGACGCTACCTAAAAATGCTTCTTTGACAGTGATTACTTTTGATCTATTCCACAATCCGACATTGGTGGTGTGGTTGTTAATCTCCATTTCGATTTTTTTTATCGCAATCAAAAGGGTTGTTTAACAATTTTGTTTTTTAAAAAACATTTCGATTATTTAATCTACGACCTTTTTAGAGTACAGTCGATATCGGTCGACTGATAGTCACCTTTATGGTGCATCCTTCAGCGACTGAAAGTAAGAGATAGAAAGAGACAAGAAGACCGTCCTCTTTAACACAGAAAGTAATAAAAGTGAAGCGCGCAAAGATTTAAAAGCGATGCGACTGCTTCATTGATAATGCGGGATATTCGCTAGACATACTTTGAAGGTACAAAAGTTCATAGTTATAGTGCTAAAGTAATTAATCTTGTATCTAAAAACTTTTGTCCACAATAGCTCCCTTTATGTGGTATGCGAACGATACAAAAAACGAATTTTGGTATTTAAATTATGCTACTCTAAATGAAAAAGCTTTGTTTTCATATACAGAGTTTTTATCCGCATCATTAGAAAATATTTGTCAGTTTATTTTATTATTAAAAAATATTTCTTTACGAAATATGAAACATTTATCAATTGCCTTTAAACAATATATTATGGATGATGCACATTTAAAAACATTGCTAAATGAAGATGAATTTTGGAAAAAACTTAACATCGTCGATGCTGATGAAAGCGACATCTGCTGTATTGATTGTCTTCCATTAAAGGTGTTAAAAATAAGAAATATTTTATTTTCAAATTGTTTAATGCTAATTAAGTATTATTGCCTTACAATATTTGCGAAACATTTAGAAATATTGTTATTAATAGAAATTTTTACGGATAAAAGTGATTCATGTACGTATATTTTAATTGCCATGAAAAAATCTTAAAAAAGCAAATTTCATAATTAAGACTTGCTATTTAATATCAGGTAAAGAGCTATTATTTAATGGGATCAGGTAGGTGACTGATACCGACAGATCGAGCCAAACGTTTTAGGCATAGATAGTTCACATTGAGATTAGATCATTATCAAGAAATTTTATGCTTCAAGATTCTTTTCTTTTACAGTTAAAGTGTTTGGTGTCTCAAGTGAAGCTCCTGCAGAAGGTAAATAAGACGAGTTTTTACAACAAACTCCATTTTCTATCCTATGACAAAACGTAAGACCCGTAAAATTTATGTCATAGATCCTGAACATGCTAGACTATGTTTTCTGTGAAAATTATAGTTAGAAAATATTTGTGCCACCCATATATGCTTCAAAGTATTTTCTAATTTCTTTTTGCACTAATAAACTGGAAAAGTGTTTTTTTGCCATATGAACCAGTTTTTAATGTTGTATCTGAATATATGATCAACATTTTGTGAAATGTTTTTTGTAAGACGAAACTGAAGAGCTGAGCTTTTTGAAAAAGATCTTCAGAAAACCAAAAACATTGAAATCGGTTTTTAAGTTTATCAGAAGATCACTTCTGCCTTTTTAACTGATGATTTTTCGATGGAAAGATATAAATTTTTGGGAGACAGCAGTCTCAGAGTTCTCATCATTAAGAAAAGATTATAGAGTCGTGCCATAAGGGAGATGTTCATAGTTGAGATTATTGCGCAAGAATATTCAAGGTTCTTGCATCAGCCTTAATCAACAAGATAAAACAGTTCTAAGATGATGCAAGAACCTAGAATATGACTTAGTATGTGCGCACGACATGTGCGTTTTTGTGTAATAGAATGTGTGTGTGCTATCTTTATGTAAAGTTTTCTCAAATAAACTTTAGGTGAGAAACACCTTAGTCCACCCGGGAACCTAACCGGCATCTTAGAACGATTATTGCCGACTTCGGTTCATCTTATGAATTTTATTCAACACATATTATGAAGACAATCATCGAATATCTTCAACAGACAAATAAACTTGTAAGATCACCTCTTATCGTTCATACTGACCTTCCAATAAATGACTGGACGCGACTTTTTCAGCTTGTGGCAAGTGATAATTCATATGAAGGTGTTGCCAGTGGTCGTTCATTTTATGAACAGTGTCTACCATCGAATTGTCTTTCGATAGGGTTTTCATTTCGTTACAAATAA